TGCAAGTGGTGAGGTTTGTCTCGACCACTGTGCATTTGGGTAGTTTAAGAATTGGTCCGTCTCAAGTCAAGTTGTGACGTTGAGTAAACCGGATTAAACAGATCTTGTAAGATTGTTTAAGTGATTCTTAATAAAGCAAGTTAACTTGTCTTGGATTCGTTTGAGTTTCTCTTTTGTGGTATCCATACAAACTTTCACTCTGGACATGCCTAACAAGCAAAGACAAAAGCATAATAATCAGAAGAAACAATCTATAAATGTTCTTACCAAAACTTGAAATCATCTTGTTACCAGTTTCTTTGCCAGTTTCTCTGACGAAGAGAAGCGAGATCAAGTTTGTAACTGATCTCAGAAGCTGACATGGCACCAGGAACTTCATGCTTGTTTGCATAAACAAGAACAGGCGCATTGTCTGGTACATTCCCCTGCATCTAAATCAACAGAATCAAACAATGTCACTATTATATACAAGTTTGCTTGATGTTTATTATTAATTACCTCATCCATCACCCTGTAAAGGAAACTCTTTGCCTCTTCGATTCCCTTTCTGTCTGTGCTATCAACTACATATACAAACCCTGATGCCTTTTCAAAGTATCTTTTCCATATAGAAATTTCCTGCAATGTAATTATTATTTTTTTTTTAATAAAGTCAAGTCATCATGAGGTATGGTCCGTATGGATTTGTATGTTTTTCTTGAAAGGAAACAACTTCCATACCCTATACAGAGATCGACCTTCTATTTCAAAGAAGCTAAAGCTGGAGTTCTTGTATTTGACGCTTCCACATTCAAATCCTAAAAGTAGTGATGATCCTTTTTTTTTTTGAGAAGTTCATTGGAAAACAATAAGTTGAAAGAAAAGAGAGGCTGATTTGCTTACCAATGGTGGGCATGTTTTTTGAAAGGGCTTCTCCGGTTTTGAGTTGGTGCAGTATTGATGATTTTCCGGTAAAGAAGAGGCCGAAAAACATTATTCTCGGTTCGGGTTCTTGAAATAAACTGATAAATGCCTTTCCAAATGTTGTCCCCATCTTCTTGGCTCAGCAACGATCAAACTTTGCAATGAAGTTGACTTTGTATAGAGAAAGAAGCTTTATATAGAGACGAAACTGAGCTTTATAGAGAGACTCTTCTTGAGTTTCAAAGTCAAATAGTTTGAAGCTTAAAGCCTTAAGAGTTGGGTGTGTTAAGGGCTGTTTCATGATCTGTGGGAGATCACAATTAGAGTCAACTCGTTGACTTTTCTTCAATCACTTTCAACATTCCTATTTTTTTTTTTCATTTATCTGTAAAGATGCTCATAAACAGCAAAACGAATATTCAGTAGATAATAGTTTCCAGTGTCAGGAATTAGACGAATGTTTTAGCCTATTTTACATTTTAGGATTTGATTATTTTGATCGGACACACGTTTGAAATATTCATAATTAGTCAGAATCCCAAATACAAAGTGAAAAATTCAAAAAATAAAATAAAATTCACTACAATGCAAGATTAAGATCTAAACCCTTCTCTTCTTCTTCCTCCTTCTTTGCTTCTTCTTCCTCTTCTTTCACCTTTACATCTTCTTCCTTGTGATCTGAAACAGCCATCAATGGCTTCACATCACTACACTGAGAGAAATCTTCCGGCTGAAACGCCGGAACCACAACACCGGATGTCTCTCCCACGTTCGTTTTCTTCCTCACGTCACCTGAACTTTGACCTAACTCTTCTCTTCTTCGCTTCCGTGCTTCTTGATAACTTTTGATGAGATTAAAGAACGTATCAATCTTCTTCTCTTCTTCATCTTCCTCTTCTCTTTCTCTCCCATCGACCCTGCTCGTCTCCACATTTTGGTCCTTCTCGTTCTTCATGGTCTTTGAGACACTGTAGGGGTTATCGTGTATATTTAATAGTTTAGGATACATTTACAAAGTGACAACTAGTTTTTTAGAGAGAGCGAGTGAAAGCAAAAAGGTGTGATGATATTCTTTTAAAGGAAGAAATGAATTAGCGACCAAGGGCATAATAGTCAAATGAACACGGAGATACCGACGTTACCATTGCGTCGAATGACGGCTTTGGATAAAACGACATGAAGAAGCGTACGAGATTACGTTTTACATACGTCACTGTAATGACGTAATCCTAACACATTCTATTTGAGAAAATGATTCACAAAGACTCATCATCAACAGCCTTGACTTGATGCGTTTACTTTACTCGTGGTTGGTCACGAGAGAAATAGATCCAGTGAAGTGATCGTGTACATAACTCTCTTTTATGAACCGTTAGATCAACTTTCCTGGGAACTATTTTTGAATGTAATGGATAATGAGAGTGAGTCTTATTAAAAAGAAAAACATGTCCGAATGATAAGATTTTATAAAAGATATGTCGAATCAAAATTGTACATGTTGTCGGCCACTTGTGTTGTAATAAACGAGTAATTGACTCATATAAAAAAGAAAGAAAACTAATCGTTTTGTTCTTTAATAATGAACCCTAATTATATATCATCATCTCTGTTTTTTCCACGATTAATTGTTGTTTTTTGGGTCTACTAAACGTGATTATAAGTTTTAACTATTCTTGACACGAAGAAAGAAACAAGACAACAACTATTTCCGTACGTTTAAATTCTTAGATTAAAGGGGTCAAGGTTTGATGAGTGCGTGCATGTATGAAAAGGGACTAAAACGTATTGAACTTTTCTTCTTCCTCGATCGCACGTTATCAAAGGCCAGATCCGAGAAAATTCATGGTCCAATGGGTTCAATTAGAATTGTTGTCGAAGAATGTGGACCAATAAACTAATGGGCCTAAAGGTACAAGAATTTCAAATCTGATTGTTGCAGGCAAGTTTGTGGGAAACACCATTCCTTTAACTTTCTTGAATATATCAACTAATGTTTTTGCAAAAAGCATTGCTCGTACTATATTCTAATTTTATCTTTATATTACAATATTACTTGTGTGAAGTATAAACTTTTGGCACACGACGATCCATAAAGTTTTACTCTCATAACCTCAACTCTCAACATGTTAAATGGGAAAAAGAGAGAGAAAGTTAATCTATTAATTGACTGCGCGAAGTAAAGTAAATTATACGACTACTCTTTCCCGCTTCGAATCCAGGCTCATAAGAATAATCACCTTTTTTCAAACAAAACTATATGACTGTTTTAAACTTTTAAATCAGTAAAGCTGTTAAGGTCAAGGCATCCTTTATTCGTTCTTCTCACTTTTTTTTTCACTTTCTGGATCCTGAATTTACCTTTATGTAAATATTCCATTTCCTATTCATAAGTATACAACACAAAACTTGTATTACATATATATCATGTTGAGGTGCATGGCCTGCATGCAAAAGCTGAATAAGTTTGAACTTTCACGCATGGAGCTAGTTAATAATATGATTAACTGATACATTTGTTAAGTTTTTAAAGCGTATTAAGGCAAAAAGTATATCGTCTAGTTTTAGGAAAAAAAATATTCTTAATCTCTTAACTCGGTGACTAAATAAATTTGTCAAAAATCACTTGAAACAAACCATTTGAGGCATAAATAACATTGGGTTTGTTGAAGCTAATTTAATTTGATCCGGATAATGATATAAAGTAAATGGCAATGCAACCATGCAAGAGCTGCCTTATGATTATTAGTCTATTGCCAAAAATGGTTCAGTTATAAATATTAATAATACGAATTGTGTGTTTAGGTAAATATCGCCCCTAATCAGTAACTCATTCAAATACAACAAATAAAAAGGATGATAAAATATCATTTTATTGTTTCAAGATTACGGACTTTCTCTTGTCACCAAAAGTTTACAGTAGTCTTAAGTGAATCCTTGATATGTAATCACTTATTTGAGGAAATACAATTATTGGAGAATGAATTCTCAATCGCAATGACAAAAAATTTGCCAATATTTTTTTTTTTTTAATTATTTTGTGAAAACACCGTAGCTTAGACAATTAGAAAGTGCAAAACACAAGTAATTTAGGAGCATTCATTGACAACTTAACTAGACATTAACATTAGTACCAAAAAAAAAACTTAAGTAGACATATGTGATACATCGTCTAACTAGAATTGCGTAAGGCCTAAGAGAGGTGTGAATGTGGTGGGCATAGAGTCATAGATAGAGGAGACAATGCAGAAAAGCGAGAAGGGGAATCTTTATAATCTATGAGCTTACCAATAAAACAAGGCTACGCTAATGTCCACTCACTTGTTTCATTTAACTTTTGATTGGTCATTTTTAGGAAACTTCTGCTGATTAATACTCCCTCTTACGTGTCTAATATACGCTTAAGTAATCTCGATTTGTAACATATCGATGCAAAGTAATGCCTCGATATAATTATATATAATCACCGAGTTCCTTACGTACCTTGTAGCTTTCAGGATTCTGGAACGAGTATCCATTCAAATAATATTATAATATAGATTTACTGATTAATTACTGATTACTGAACCAAGTACATATAGTTATATATTGAGTGCTAGATACGTTAAACTGGGATTACGTGGTCACACCGAAAAAGGGGAGAATCGGAGGTGGGTATGTCTAACATTCCAATTGCGACCCACCAAACTTCTCCATTTGTTAATAAACTATATAAACTTGTAACGTATGTACAGTATATCTTTATTTATATTAGTATTTACACAAAACGAGAGCCAGAACTTTGAATCTTCGAGTGGCCTTGTAAGCTTTTTCAGTTTTCCTTAACCTCAAAAAGAAAGTAAAATATTTCTTCTGTTGTATAATTGCATATTATATACATACATATACGTATATATGAAACACACATACGCGTGACAGATTTCCATAATTAGAATTTACATCTTTATGCCCAACTGTTACAAAGAACATGCATATTTCTAGCTGAAAATTAAATGATAAATATGGTTTTTACTTACTGTATTGAAGTTTTATCAAAAATACAGGGGCTATCATAAATTTAGTTTTTTTTCCCTGGATTTACTAATGTATGTGATGATATACATATCTTAATGTGCTCGTACACAATTTGAAGTTGTCTCGTCATTTATTTTCTCAAATTATAAATACTATCATCACCAGCTCTAGCAGTTGATAGATTCTATGGCTATGCATACAAATATAAATGAAGATATATATGCTCTAGTGGCTGCGCGTGCCGTAAACCAGGTAAACTTTAAACAAGTTGATTACATCAACTTTCAAAGTCTTAAAGCACACACGAAAACAAAATCCACGCACAAAAATATAACTTCAGAAGTCCAAAAGTAAAAAGGAACGCCAAACGGAATAACAAATCGTCGAAGGACAATATTCTTTGGAAAAGAGAAATTAACAAGTTGCATGGTTTTAAAAGGTTTTTTTTTAGAACTATGTTTGTTAAAGCAAATTGCCTGGTTAAAAAAAGAAATTTGCAGGTTATCTTATTAATTCACTAATATTCTTTATAAAGCTAATTTTGTTTGTAAAATAAAGGATTTAAACATCTTTAAAATACATATTTACAAACAAACAATAAAAACAATCAATTTATCATTTTTCTATTAATGATGATTCAACCGGTCAATTTTTAATGAAGTTTAAATTTATTCAATAAAGAATTGGTTCAGTAAGAATTGGTCGAGTTTTGCCTGTAATGAGACCTAAGAATCGCATATTTTATTGGTACTAAAATCTTTGACATAGTCAAAAAGTTTTCATTTCTTTAAAAGTACATAGGTAGCTTCAAAATTATACTACTAGAAACGTAAATATATGACATCGATCAAAAACAAAAATAATTCTATTAAATCCATATGAGTTTGCTTATCATCATTATCTTTTTTTTTTGTTAATGATTTAACTAGATGCACATTCTTCCCTACGAAAGCTACACGTCGAGAGACCGGTAACACAATACAATATCTAAACATTAAATCAGTTATAAATTATTAGTTCGACCTACCAAGAGACCAAGACAGCATCCAAAAGTTGGAATATTCTTTCAACTTTCTACTAAGATAATCCACTAGTTTATATTTCATAATTTAATTGGCCACCAAGCATTTGGCTTAGATGATATTATATTTGATGAAGACCTACTTTCAACAACAACAAAAGAAGACTGAGACATATTAGATACAGACAAACAAGAATGTTTCATTTTACGACCGGTTTAACTGTTTATGATTTTTTTCCTAAATACTAGAATGTTCAGGGTCGAAATCGGTGATCCTCCTACATCTAAAAGCACAACATATAACACACTAGAAATAGAGACTTGTAACACAATGACTTCTGATAATTGTTTATAACTTCTATTTAATAATAGGACACATTTCCTCTCTTAACAAATTAACAAGAAAAACTTTATTGTGAGATGGTTTTAACCTAAATTGTGTTATTTATAAATCAAACAAGTAACAATTTTATCTCAAACTAATAAATCTATTTTCTAAGAAATGTGATAGATTTTTTTTAACAATGATTTTGCAGTTTAATGTGGTTCCACTTGTGCTGGTACATGACGGCACTATACTACTAGTCTAGTCTACGGTACATCTATATAATAATATAAGAATAGTTTTTTTTTTTTGCTTAAATAATACTATAAGAAAAAAATTTCAAAATAATAATAATATAAGAATAGTTCTATATTATTCCCTCTCATCGAATCATTGTAAATCATATATAGGGACCGAAAAATAACATGCAGGCAATTGCGAAATAATTGTAATGCAATTCTATTAGCAATAAAAACATAGATATATATTTAAAGATTTTTGTTAATATTAATATCGATACGGGGCGATTTAGTCTGTTATCATTCGGACCCTATAGTATATACTCATTCATAGAAAAATCCGGGCCATATCCCTAATGAAGTATAACAAACATACTGAATCTAAAACACACGTTTGCTTATATTAATCACTCCATCATTAGTAAAAATAAAACTACAGAAAT